AAAAAAAAACAATCAAAAAAATAATTCTTATAAATTCGTGCATTGTAATTATCAACAAATCTTTATTTACATCCATAGAAACTTCACTTTCATGCATGTCTTCGAAGTTAATGTATGTGCATAATATTTACAAAGTCTTCCATTCATAATACATCGAATATGATTTAATCCACTAAGCATTGACTCTTTCCAGTTCTCTATTTATTTGGAATAAAGTATTTTTTATTGTCGTTGAATAACTCGATAAGACTCATGACTATCGAGATTGAATTTCTGAAAGACATGCATTTCAAAAGAAGAAAAGCGACTTAAAAATATCTTTTCTATAGCAAATATTATATTGCAAGTTCAAGTTTAAAAGTTTTATTGATTTTTCCATTTTATATTAATGTAAAACTATTTAACTAAGTTATATAAATAGTAGAAAGATGAGTGTCTTGTTATCGTTATTCACTTGGAGCATAATTTCAATACTATTCCTTCTAAAATATACAGTTTTCTACAGAGATATACTCCTCATATTCTCAATAACTTTTCTTTTTATTTCTAAAAAATATTTCAATATACTTTTATTAATATTTTAAAACATTTTACGAATAGACAGCAAAAGAACAAATTAGAACAAGAGAAATGATACACGAACAACAAATATATTTAATTGTCAAATTACTTTTGTATTTAAGTATGAGTACGACTTCTTTGAGTATTTGGAAATACTTGATTCGGATGTATGCCACAAGCCAGTTCTTTGAGGCAAACGATCACCTGATTTCGAAATCTTTTTGATAAACAATAGCAATAAAATGAACTCTAAAATAAAGAGAAAAATAAATATTTGTTTTGGAAGTAGGAAAAAGATAACTTACTGCATATGGACCATAACCATAAGTAGCAGCAAACGAAGCAATTAACTGTTCCACTGTTCGTCTATACGAATCATTAACTATATTTGCTGTAATAATTGAGTAAATTTGCCAAGCTGCATATGGACCATTAAAAACCAATAGAGCAACTATTTGAAATAATGCCATGCTGATTGTTTGTCTAGTAAGAGAAGAAAGTGTTCTCGTTACACTGATAGTTTTTATATGTCGAACAGTGAGAAAACCAAAAATAGATATCACTATGATAGGAATCGTAGTAAAAATACAAAGAGTGGTAAAATAAGTGCGATACTGAGCAAATACTGTATTTGTTGTGATACACATGAAGGTACCACCTACGATAACAAGATCTTGTAAAAAGAAGTAGGGTATCTCTTGAATAGACCAAAACAAAAGTGTACCAATGACTAAATGTCGTGCTATTCGAATATTACTCTTTTGTCGTACAACAACTGATGGAGAAGAACAAATGAAAGCATCAGTAGCTTGTAAGCAAATCATAGTATATGTAGATGTAGCATTAATATCAGCAAAACCTAAGCGAGTTTTACACCATATTCGGTTCATTAAAGTAAAATCTATTTGGAAACCTGTAGCAAGCATTCGAGTAGCTAAACCAGCAAGAAGAATGTAGAGATCAATAAAAGCTCGAATGAACATGTAAAGTGAACATGCATTATTCTTGTAATTTCCCACTTTAATAAAGATGATTATATTAAGAATATTGCCTAATACACCACCGATCAATAGAATAAACCCTAAAATAAGACTTGGATATCGAAAAGCGCTTTGAAGTTGAAGGATCGCTAATGTAATGCTTGTGTTATTGTTGGATGACATCGTACCCATGTAAAAAAAAAAACGTCAAAAATCTGATTTGCATCGATTTTTCGATGATGAAAAATCGATTTAAATGGCACGATTTACATCCGATTTTTCATCAACAAAAAATCAATTAAAATCTGTTTTTCCTAAAAAATCAATGGAAATCGATTTTCATGATTTTTTCCAATAAAATCGATTTTAATTGATTTTTCGCCGATGAAAAATCGGATGAAAATCGTGCCATTTAAATCGATTTCTCATCATTGAAAAATCAATGATAATCATATATTTCATAACAAAAGATTTTAACAGATTTTTCTCAAATTTAACATCTGTTAAAAATCATGACTTTTACATCGATTTTAATCGATTTGACCTTGAAAAATCGACGTTAATAGTTTTTTAACTATTACGATCTTTTCGTTCATCGGATTCATTAGGAAACCTTTTCAAAGCCAGTTCACAATGTTCTACCAAGTGCCACACTCTAAGACCAAAGGACCTTGACAATAACAAAAAGAACCTAAACGTGGCCTTAAATTTCGATCCATTTTTTGTTCTGTTGCACACTTCCATATTTGGCTACTTTGCAACGTACTGTGAAAACCTTCCGTATTGCGAGTAGACCTTCACCACCATCACAAAATGCGATCAGTTCATCCCGTGGAGATACGTATTGCTTAGTTGCAAGTAGGTCTATTTTCAACCTACCTCACCATGTAAATAGTCTAAAATACAAAATAAATTACAAATATTTCAATATCTATGGACTTACGCGATGCGCACTTGGAAACTTGTAAAATGAAATAAAATGAGAAAAAGATGGGTACATATAAGGTCATACCTGACGGACTATTCAGATGAAGACGTTCATGAATATAAATAGTTACATATAACCAAGTGATCAATTGTCTAAAAGGAAACTAAATGAGAAAAACATGAACACATAGAGTCATACTTGACGGTCTATCCGAATCTGGACGTCCATGAACGTAAATAACCACATACGAAGAAGTGATCAATCGTCTAAAATGAAAATAAATGTGAAAAAACATGGGTATATATAAGATCATACCTGCCGGACTATTCAAATTCAGACGTTTCTAAATCCAAACAGCCACATACGACGAAGTGATCAAAACCTGTAAAATGAAACTAAATGAAAAAAAACATGGGTATATATAGGGTCATATCAGACGGACTATTCAAAAGCAGACGTCCGTGGATGTCAATAGTCAAATCGGACGGTTAAGGACATTACATCATTATGTGACTCATAAATTGCTCAGAACCAATTAATTAGCAATCCTCAATCTAGTACTCAACAAATTAAGACAAAACTAATTAAGTGTTAACTAAGTAGGACGAAACTATTTAGGGCAAACCTAATTAAAGAAAAAAACAATTGGGACAAAGCTAATTAGAATAAAACTAATTCAGAGCCAAGTGATTATTAAAAAACTGATGAAGGTTCAAATAAGTAGTACTCAAAGAAATCCCTTGACGGACAGAAGGATCGTATAAAAAAAAGAGATTGTGCGTGTGGCTGTCCCTATCAGAATCAAAGGTAAAAAGTTAAACGATCAAAAAGAAGAAATATCTACTTAACGCAGTATTATTAATGTCAAATGATTAATCACTTATCGAAGGTCACACAATATTGACCAATCAGACTTAGAGGATCCTTAAATCGACGAAGCGGATTTTCTTGATTTTCTATGTAGGTATTGTCTTTTTTAAAAAAACCATGAAAATCTATTCTTCGATACGGGTGAGAAGTTATTATTATTATTCTGTTATAAATAACAATTACTTTTTTACGATAATTATTTTTTATAAATAACGGATAAATAACATACAACTCTTATTTTTGGGAAATATCTTTTCTCAGCTAATTGTATATTTTAATTGTATTCGTTATGCAGACTTATACTTTAGAACGAATTTTTCATATCTATACTACTGATTTATATGATTCAGCCAAGATATCAAGGTATCTGCATTTTCAAAGAAAAAATTTATTTGTTATTTATAACAAATAAGTATCGTGAAAAAGTTATTGCTATTTGTAACAAGAATAATAACTTCTCATCGCTATTCGCCGAAAGAGTTTCATCGATTTAAAGTGATTATCATTTGTAAATTCTTTTGAAATTATTTAACGTGTAGGAAATCACTGAAAATATTTCATATTGACTTATAATATCGATAAAAATTGATTTTTGGTATTAAAAATCTTTTGAAACGTACTATAGTGGGCAGTTCAATGGATTAAAAGCAAAGGTTTTATTTAGTTTAATCAGACAACGCCATATATAATCGGATTTTTTTGATTTTTTTCGAAAAATCGATTTCATCTAATTTCGTTATTTACTGATCAGCGTGAATGAATTAAAACTAATTAAGTAAAAATTATTAATCACATTGATCAGAGATGAAAATTAACCTTGACTCGTGCGTCATCTATACATATGATGACGATTTAAATTTTTTAAAATTATCTCCAATATTTTGATAATTATTTTTTGAAAATAAATCTATTTATACAGACCATTTCGTTGAAATTGAATACACGAATAATAATAAACTGATTATCACTAACTAATTAATCCTCCACAATATCCACTTGATACATAAATAATGTTCGTTCTATACGATATGTTTATTGTGCTTTCGTAAATGTTAATACTACTTGTTTTCCATTGTGCACATGTTCCATGACTTGTATTTCTTATCGTTGATCGAATACTGAAACAATTTAATTAAAATCTTGTACTGATTTCTGAGTACATGCCACCGTTTATTGTCGTTATACTTTGTAAGATGCATATTTTGGTTCCATCTTTTAGATTGATTAAAATTTTTATTATTTACAATGCAATCAGAACCTACTAATGTTCGAAAGAAGAATGTCGAAAAAGAAAATCCAAAACAATTTCTTTTGATCCGTGATGAAGCATCACAAGTACTTCTTATTGCTGATTCTAGTAAGGCGGCACCGATAAAAAAAAGGTGCTGAAATGGTACTAGGTGTTGTAGTATCCTGGCAAGATGGTAATCGAAATCGTTGGTGTGGACCAATTCTAGCTGCTGGTAAGATCACATCCAAATTAGTTTTTTTTT